ATAAAACGTTATAGTAAGCAAGGCATAAAAACGTCAAAAAACATCATAGTATATGAAGGCATAAAAACGTCAAAAAACATCATAGTATATGAAGGCATAAAAATGTCATAAAATAATAAGTCGTAAAAACGTTAAAAAACATCATAGTATAGTAAGGCATAAAAAACATTAAAAATCATCATAGTATAGTAAGGCATAAAAAACATCAAAAAACATCAGAGTATAGTAAGGCATAAAAACGTCATAAAACATCAGAGTATAGTAAGGCATAAAAGCGTAAAAAACATCATAGTATAGTAAGGTATAAAAATGTCATAAAATAATAAATCGTAAAAAACATCAAAAAACATCATAGTATATTAAGGCATAAAAGCGTAAAAAACATCATAGTATAGTAAGGCATTAAAACATCACAAAATGTCATAATATAGTAAGTCATAAAAACATAAAAAAAAATCATAGTGTAGTAAGGCATAAAAATGTCATATAATAATAAGTCATAATAACATCAAAAAACATCAGAGTATAGTGAGGCATAAAAATGTCATAATAATAAGTCGTAAAAACGTCAAAAAAACATCATAGTATAGTAAGGCATAAAAAAAGTTCAAAAACATCATAGTATAGTAAGGCATAAAAAAACATTCAAAATCATCATAGTATAGTAAGGCATAAAAACGTCAAAAAACATCATTATATAGTTAAGCATAAAAAAATGTTAAAAAACATCATAGTATAGTAAGGCATAAAAAACGTTGGAAAACATCATAGTATAGTAAGGCATTAAAACGCCATAAAATGTCATATTATAGTAAGGCATAAATACATCAAAAAACATCATAGTATAATAAGGCATAAAAATGTCATATAATAATAAGTCGTAAAAACGTCAAAAAACATCATAGTATAGTAAGGCATAAAAGAAACATTAAAAAACATCATAGTATAGTAAGGCATAAAAACATCAAAAAACATCATCGTATAGTAAGGCATAAGAACATCAAAAAACATCAGAGTATAATAAGGCATAAAAATGTCATATAATAATAAGTCGTAAAAACATAAAAAAAAACATCAGAGTATAGTAGGGCATAAAAACATAAAAAAAAACATCAGAGTCTAGTAAGGAATAAAAATGTCATACAACATCAGAGTATAGTAAGGCATAAAAATGTCATATAATAATAAGTCGTAAAAACGTCAAAAAACATCATAGTATAGTAAGGCATAAAAATGTCATATAATAATAAGTCGTAAAAACGTCAAAAAACATCATAGTATAGTAAGGCACAAAAAAACATTAAAAATCATCATACTATAGTAAGGCATAAAAAACATTAAAAATCATCATACTATAGTAAGGCATAAAAAAACATTAAAAATCATCATAGTATAGTAAGGCATAAAAATGTCAAAAAACATCATTATATAGTTAAGCATAAAAAAATGTTAAAAAACATCGTAGTATAGTAAGGCATAAAAAATGTTAGAAAACATCACAGTATACTAAGTCGTAAAAATGTCAAAAAACATCATAGTATAGTAAGGCATAAAAGAAACATTAAAAAACATCATAGTATAGTAAGGCATAAAAACATCAAAAAACATCATCGTATAGTAAGGCATAAAAACGTCAAAAAACATCAGAGTATAGTAAGGCATAAAAATGTCATATAATAACAAGTCGTAAAAACGTCAAAAAACATCATAGTATAGTAAGACATAAAAGAAGCATTAAACAACATCATAGTATATTAAGGCATAAAAGCGTAAAAAACATCATAGTATATTAAGGCATAAAAGCGTAAAAAACATCATAGTATAGTAAGGCATAAAATGTCATAGAATAATAAGATGTACAAACATTTAAAAAATCATAGTATAGTGAGGCATAAAGGTGTAAAAAACATCATAGTATATATAGTAAGGCATAAAAACATCAAAAAACATCAGAGTATAGTAAGGCATAAAAATGTTATAGTATAAAAAGGCAGAAAAACGCCATAATATAAGAAAGTGTAAAAATGTTAAAAAAAAACATCATAGTACATTAAGGCATAAAATATCATCAGGTACCACTGTGATATTCTAATCTTCAAATATGCCCCGCTCTTTCAGCTAATCAAATGCTACCATGCCTAAATTGGTTGTCTTGGAGACGTAGCCTTGCGGAGCGCACATCAGAATGACCTAATATTACTTACTTTCACTCACATATTGGTATGGACATGTCTCTACCATCCTTATCCAACCCTTGTGTTCAGCAGCCTAAGACAAACACCTGAGCATTGTCAGCAGACAGTAAACTTATCCTGTTCAAATAGTCCTCACACAAACACACACACACACACACACACACACACACACACACACACACACACACACACACACACACACACACAACAAAACAACATGAACTGCTGGTTTTAAACTCATGAAGATGAAAAAGTTTGAAGAAGTCACTGAAACACTTAGAGTCAGTTCACTCAAAATACAATAGAAATACATTCATGTACTTATATTTACAATTTATATATATTCATATTCCCTTTGATCTGGGACTGTTTCCTCCTCACACCTGGACATGTCTCTGAAGTTATAGTTTGATTCTTCTGAATTTAATAAAGAACAGGGTTTGTTTATTATTTATTTCGTATTATTTGTAATGATAATGATTAATTTCAGCCTCATATTCAGGCAGTTCTGATTGTGTTAAATGTTCCACATTCATTTAACCAACCACCACCGCCTGAGTCTAGCAGGGAGTCAGATAAGGACCCAAAGACCCTGAATCAAGTGTGTGGCTTCTATTTGGAGGCTGAGAGCTGATGAGTCTGGACTGTCAGAGATAAAGAGACAGAGAAATGTCAGCAGTCACACCTCACTCCTCAAACCAAAGACTTTTATTCTGAAGGTCTGCTGCATCATCATATAATCACGTTCTACAGTTTGAACACAGTTTGGATGTCGGAGTCACAGCTAGAGACCTGAGGTTCAGAGATGTTACAAACTTCATGTAATTGTTATAAATTTGTTTCCATCAAAATAAATATTGAATAAATAAATAGAAAGATGTGAGAAGTAAGTAAATATTCAATCAGTCTTTTTAATATTAATAAAGTAATTGTGTCTCTGTGCAATATGAAATTCAGATTAGGAACCATTTCATGATTACTTTGTTTTTGCCACATTTTTATTTAAATTTGAACATCATGAATTATAGCCTTTAACATTTGTATTTTATACTGTAAATGTTATATTGTTTATTATATAACAGCTGCATTCAGTCACAACATAAAGTAAAAAGTAAAATTAAACAAACAAACAAATGCTCCTCTTCTCTTAACAATTGTCAATCTATAGAAAACAGGGTATATTAATTATAATAAAATATAACAAGTGTTGAAAATAATAGTAATGACAGAAAGAGCATTGTTCCCAGAAACTTGATCATCTGTTAAAATTAAACCCTCAACATAGTTAATAAAGAGTCTCCATATATATCTCTACATATAACATCTGTCTTATCCACTGAGTTGTGCTATGTAAGGAGGACCAGTGATTTCACTTTACTTTCTTTTCCTGGATCAAACAGAATCAGTCACTGAATGTTTCTTGAATAAATAAAAGGTGACATTAAAATATCAGTGGATGAGTTGGAGGTCTGTGTTTTCTTGTGGATGATTAAACTCTCGAGGAGTCAGAGAGTCAGAGCTGCTCCGGTGAGGACGAGTCTATAAATGAACAGGTGTCAGGCGTCTTTATCAGCCGGCTGATAAGCAGTGAAACGCTGCTCGTCCTAAAATGGACTTTAACAGCCAAAGGTCCGGAATCTGCCCTCGTGGTGTGTTCACATCCCAGGACAAATTTAGACTTTTTTTTTCTTTTCAGCGCCCGTCTCCTTATTTGGACGAGAGCGACGCTTCATAAAAACCCTCCTGCAGTGAAGAGTCTGCAGTTCTTCATCAGATTCACCAGGGAGAAGACTCTCCTTTCTGTGATTCTCTGTTCTGACTGAGAGGACCTCCACCCTCAACCA